TTGACTTAGGTTGTTGACCACAGGAAAACCTCGGTTTAGCGTCCCATGAACGAAGTGTCTGAAGAGTGCTTCAGCCCTTCCTTGTGATGGACATTGAAATCTTCAACAGTGGTAATTTAGCTGTTAGGATCAGCCGCCATCAGTATCTCAATGCTGAAAGAGAGAATATCAAAAACAGAAGGATCTCTGCTGCTCGGAGAGCGGTACAGAAATAGTGATTAACAGAAAGGAACCAATACACTCCTAACATCATTCAGTCTAGATGTATTAAAAAGGGAACCGAAGTTTCAAACACTGAAGCTGGATTTCGCGGTTGAAGAAATCTAGGTGAGAAAGTCGGGAAGAAGCAATAGAATGATGGATATAGGTGCAGACACCAGCTTTAAGAAGAAAAGAAGAATGAAGGAAGTAATTAGGGAACTGAAGATGAGTAGTGTCTGACAAGGGAGCTATTTGTGTCTTAGTCAAAAATGAAGCCAAGGGGGTAGTCGATTGGAGCAAGTGGTGTACAGAATTAAAATTTGGATTTAAAATACCAATATTAGTGAGGACTAAAGAGTGTTAAGTTCGTAGGTAGAGTGCGAATTCTATGGTTCGTGTGAGTTGTGTAGTTCATTTGTGGTGTGAGAGAAGACCGGCAACCAAACTCTGAGACTTAGAGTGGTAAGCCACATAAGGCCTCATTAGGTTGAGCGTGGTAGTGAGCCGGGCGGCAGCGTGGCTGCCCACGACCTAATTGGAACGTATGTGGTTTTAGTTTCACGGCAGAGTTTCGGTTGTTTCAAAGCCGGTCATAGTTTTGGGTTCTCTGCACTCTGATGGGGGCGGGAATTCATTAGAGGAGGGGGGGGGCATGTTTTGTAGGTTTATTCCCTCTGGATATTTTTTTATATGAATCATAGCAAAAAGTTGGTATGGTCGGTCACACAATCACAGTAAATGGGTATCTCACAATGTTACAAAACTGGTTAAAGTTGATGACATCTGTCATTTTGCTCTGTGAAGTAAGATTTTGGGGTTCCTATTCTCTGCTGATCATCTTGTTTTGTGAACCAGAAATCAGCTTCAATTACGCACGTTTCGCGTTCTTCGATGCTGGCTTTTCTCTCTCAGATGGATGACAAAATTTGTTCATACCAGGCCTTCAGTGTTCTGTTGCATCACACCAGAACCGGCCATAGCATTGCTTAATCGTGAGAGTCACGCGCTCGAGGGCACGGTTTTAGCATTCAACCGCGAAGCAAACGTAATAATAGAACATCTCCCTTAACATCAGTCTAGTCATATCGAAACTGCTTGTTCATATTTACTTATTTACTCATATTATACGATTATGTGTATATATATATATATATATGTGTAACCTTATCGAATACATATACCTTATGTACGGAAATAACCGCAAAATTGGCTACGGCCTTTCATGAAACGTTTTGCGCAATCATTCAAATACCATTTACACGATAGTCATAATGTTTTTATTCTCTGAAGGTCGCCCCGTCTTTATTGCGTCCAAAAATGCCAATCACTTGAAAATAGAGTTACGTGGATCATATCTCGATCTAGTAAATAATGTTTATGCGTTATTCAGTCATCTATCATTCCATACTCTTACTTTAACCGATAATTAATTTGTATACATCAAAGAATGCGAGCTCCAAGCATCAGTTTTAAACCGATATTTTATTCTTGTCAGATGCATCGTCGATTTGTAAACTGGTGCTCTCAATCTGGTTTTCTCGGTTGGGCTGCGCGAAGCCTTCTCCTCCCGCCGGAATCTCAGAAAACGGTCAACGTTACATCTGGCTCCCTATATTCTCCGGACTATGCTCAACTGAACCCTAAAGTGTCTTTTCGTTGGCTTGCCAGTTATCGGATTCTTATACGCTTGGGATTGCTCTATCTGATCTCTCTCTGTCTATTGGGAATCCGTTCACCGGTCTCATTCTTCATAATTCTTTTTATATGTTACTGCATGTACAAATTTGTTTCTCTCGTGTTTCGATTTACCAGAGAAACAGTTAGGCACTATTGGACCAATTAACAGACCCAAGCGAGTTTATCCTAATGTATGCTTATTTTCGTATTTTATCCGATATTGATATTGTTCTGGTCATTGTATTGCGAACCCTACTTTGCATTTTATGCTGTAAGCTGCATATTTTCTATTCTGGGTTCCGTTTTTTCTTGCTCGATATGTTCCGGGAATCGTGAAAAATCAATCAATTTAATGAGATTGGATGTCTCCTAGATTTCGTTTCATTCAAGCCGCTTTGATTTGTGTAGAAGAAAAGCTTACCTAATCTCATTGGCTTTCTGGCTCTGAACTCAGCGAACCATGCTTTAAATCTCATGTTACCTTAGGCGAAATGCACTAAAATGAAATGAGGTTAAATAGAGATCCTTGGAGTCTTGTTTCTATTCCGTTTAAATTTAAAGTGGAAATGTTGTAAGTTAAGTGAATCTACCCAATCACATTCTATTGGGATCAAGAGATTGGACCTTCAGCCGTCATTACTCACCGATTGGACCGGGTCCGTCAAAACCCTACCCAGTAAGAATGAACTGATTTCTCCATAAGACAAACAAATTCGCTTTTTCAGTTCGTTACTGATCAAGTGAGCTGTTGATGAGAATGAATGAATCCGGCGGTAATTGACCTCAGCCAGCCGGGTAGGGGAATGCAACAGGTCAAGATAGGTCGGTTGGTCGGTTCCATGCTCAGGCGTGAATGTTGGAATGAATCATTACTTAAGTGGCTTTAAGCTAGGCCCTCAAAATAGACCAGTGAGTAAAAAGTACATTGAGGCAGAGGTTCCCTCTAATAACACCGATTCCTTAGAACCAAATGCGATCGCCTGCATATTTCTGGCATTGACAGGCACACTACAATACACAAAACAATAATACACTGATGCATGAACAAAGCATTTCACCTGAATAACTAGGTCGAACTCACACTCCCTCAATAGCAAATGGGAATTGCTTTTTGTCTTTTATTCACGGATTAATTGTTGCATTCTACGCACAGTGCCACTGAAAACAATCTGTCACCTGCGACTTCTCCTTTTGCTACTCGGCTTCGTTCCTGACGTTTGTATCCTTGTCGCATCATTTATTATGTCCGTCCCATCTTTTCACTGTCTGATTACGTGTGCGATCTTTTCAGTTCAATGTGTGAGATATGTGGTGGATAATTCAATTATTCATGATCTTGCAAAGGATGATAGCTTTGTACCGGGTCTTTCTTGGGGCATTACGATGAATGAAGTGCAGCGTTTGACCCACAGTTGCCTTAATATCAACCAGAGACTTTCTTCTACGTGAGGAAAAACTGTCTCCATGTAATTGTTCTCGAAGAATCCTAGAAATATATTACTAAGTGACATCCGCGATACCACTGAACCTTCACTCGTCGCTCATAGACGCACCCGGCAACACTCAACTCTATTTAACATCTACTCTAAATGACCCATCGCCTCGGAACAATACGGTCATCTTACCTAAAGGAATGAATTAAATAAATACTTGGGTGGTGACTGTTTGTTGCCCTTCTATACAAAGCTTGAAATACCACGTTCCGAAACCAGTGCAACGATCCGTCTGGTACCTGTTTCGCTTTCTTGTGGTTTATACAAAGATAATAGGTTTTTTCATTTGAGTTCTACCGGAAGGTGATTGCATCTCAGGCGGCGTGACCCAGTGGATTAGTAAGTAAGATGAAGATGATCTCAGGTTAGCAGAACTCATCTGCGGACTGCATCTTGATAGTGGTCGTGGTCATCGATGGTGGTATGGCTGTGTATGAACAACTACCCGTTGAATGATGAATTCATCGTGTGAATAAGGCATGAGCTTGAAAACTAAGCAGCACTGGACAGCTGTTTCGATCTCGTTGGTTCTCATCAGCGGTCAGAATTAATCAAACCGGGACCTCGCAGGTAGAACCCAAGCATACTAACCACTCGACCACCGGGAAGTTGATCAGACCGTTTCTCATTTGGAACATACGCGATTTAGTGTAACACATCTTTACGAGGTTGCTGCGCGCAACGAAACTCGCTCATCNCTGTACGAGCCTCTAGGGTTATAACTCGGTTGGAAACTCTCACTACTTGTTATATGAGAGGAATGTAGGATTTGATTTAATTAGATGAGACCCAACCAGGTCAAAACCGCTGTCCAGTGTTTCTAGCTTTTCACCTCCCGCCTCATTTAAACGACGAATTCATCATATAAACAATTTAAATCCTCCATTCCTCTCACATAACTACCTGTTAATTAGACAGCGTTTTTACCTTAGTCAGTTGTTCTACAAAAGAGGCGGAGGAAGATGAAAGTGAGCAGCTTTCCAGTTTTTTCGTGTAAACTTATTACAACAGGTATCTGCAAAGCAGCATGCCGAACGTTGTGTCCAGTGTACATTTCCAAACATGTGGTTAGTTTACTGCAAGCAGAAACAGACAGAATGTATAGGCGGAAATCACTAGTGTGAAATCTTCCATTCTCCGTTTTGGGATGTACCATTAAAATTGAATGTTTTTCGTTGTTAGTATTATTATTATTGTCTACCGCTTCAACCAAACGTTAGCTACTATTTGGCGACATTACTAAGTTTGAGTTTACATTAGAACTTCGCGGAAAGCACGTTATCTAATTTTACCATTTTACCTAAACGAAAAATGGCAACATTAACGAGGTTAACTGCAAATTCAATGTGGTTATTGTTGAGCGATTCGGTATTTCATTTGGGAATAGGACCGAAGTATGTTCTCACGGATGAAGTATACTCCATTCCTTAAACGCGGCAGATCCGCTTTCAGTATACAGATGTAAACAGTCATTGTTTTCAATACAGAGAATTTTGTGTCAACTTTTATGAATCATTGAGATCACGTGCCTCTCGTGAACAGGATCAATATGCCCTCTTTTAAAACCTGAGAGAGTTACAGCAATCCAATCCAGCGGACACTTCAGAAAAAAGGTGATCATCTCACCTCATGGAGCCGAATGAATCCCCAATTGTGTCCCCACGCCTGTCCGCACGCAGCGCTACCGCTTCGCGTCAATCAACGCTTCAGGAAAGCCGATCTGCTTCCCCTTCGGAAATGGCACATGTTCTATGCACTCCAAATTTTGTGCGTAAACCCAAATGGTGGGGTACACAAGGTAATATCGACTATGATCCGTTCTGTGAGGCGAAAGCTGCGGCCATTCAATTCATACTGTTTGTCAGAGATGACGTGGAGATAGAAGAACGCGCAGCAATTAGGCTTAGAAGTCAACCGAAGAAACGTCGGGATATCTTTCGCCGTGTCACACGACGTTTCTCTGCCCTATCACCAATTGATCCGGATTTGCAACAATATGCTCGCGCCGTTGAGTTACAAACGTTCCGACGTGGTCTATTGAATACATTTGAATTTTTAGCCGAAAATTCAAAGGGTGGACCGAAATTCAATTTACCAAGAGAGACCCAAGTACAAGCTCGGAGCTCCGAGAGTGTATCTCTGGGTTCTGACGAGTCTCTCAACCGCTTCAATGGCCAGTTTTGACAGTGCGAGGCGAATTTCGTTGTTCTTTCTTTGTTGTGTTTACTTTCAGGGGCCAAGTGGAGACATAACTGCGTTACCTTCAAGTTCAATTTATTGAGCTTTTCAAATAGAATTAAGAACTTTTGTAGTGGTGATTCTTTGCATGATTGCTTTGGTACAGTAGGACATGTTATGATTGCTTGTCAATTAGGCTTTTACCTGAATGCAGATGTACATAAATACATGTGATCATGGTTGCATTAGGTCATTCTAAGCACACATTTGGTGTTTCACAATGTGGATCATGCTTATATTAAACCTTTTCCTTAGTCCTTCCATGTGAAGCCTTGGGGTTGTTAGGGTCGCTTCAAACAGTCTTTGCATCCGATATGGGTCCATTGTCGATCGAATGTTGCAGAATCGCGCTGTGAATATTCCGGACTGGGTCCTTGCGGATAGTGTTCTGTTATCCGCTCCACCAGGGCACGTTAATTGGAACAGAACGGAAAACCAAGACTGATGAAAATGTCTTTGATTAGCTGAACGATCGTCATTTTAATCCTCCACCAGACTGTGACATCCGCTGATCCAGATAAGCTCCATCAATGGCTTCTAGAACTTCAAAAGTATTCCCTCGCCAGCTGGTTATCAGTGTGCCTCCCGTTTTCCGCTATGTACTGCGCAAAATCCAGTCTACTTTTAAGTACTCATTGACTTCAATTAACCCTGACTGCGTAAGCCAAAGCCTGCTAAATTTAGCTGATGCTTCGGCGGGGCAAAGTCCCAAAAGTAAGTAAGAAAAAGGTGGAGGTTGTCAAGTGGATGGAAACCTTTTAGAAAGAACCGCATTCCTTGAACGAAAGTTCATGATTTACTGTTTCGTTTAGCTTATGAGATTGCCTGGTGCAGTGTTGGAGAGAGATTTCTTGGCTACAAGACTTCATGCATGACTTTTTCAAATTGTCGGGTCACCGGTAGGAAAGCCTTAGGTGTGAGCGAAACGATCTGCGAAGCTCACGGTTTGCCCATTCATAATCAACAGCGACGCCTTGAACGCTGGGCGGAGCACTTCAAAGCACAATTTAGCTGGCCACCCGCGCCAGCTTCTCACACAGCTATTCCGGCACACGTCCCATGGTCTGTTTCAACAGACCCACCTTCCGAG